TGCAGATTCTCACCTGTATCTGTTTCTGTGGTTGAGACATGTGGGTGGCAGCAGGCGGCACTTTTTCACGAGGGCCCCGGGCCTTGTCGCTGCCCAGCGAGCTCATCATATACAGTATATACAAAACTCTGTATGTACAAAATAGAAAAACCTGCCAAGGAAACAAGACAAGTCAAGTCACATTTATTTATATAGCCCTTAATCACAAACAGTCTCCAAGGGCTTCACACGCCCACAGTTGACAAGTCTTCACGATGACTAAATTTAACCCCCGTGAAGGCAAGGAAAAACTCAGAAAAAAAGAAAACTCAAAAATACGTTCACACACACACACACCTCCATCATAGCAGAGTGATTTATTTGTGTTTGTGCTTGAGGGGGACATATTAATGACCAGAAATTGTTGTTAAGTGTGTGCAATATTGAACAGAAATATTGGTGTAGAGTACAGTTGGTCTGTTGATGTAACAGCTGAAAATCTAGGTCAAGGAAGAAGAGTGACCGAGTGTCCACTTGCAAAAAAAAAACAAACAGTGCATATGTGCAGGGAATAGTGTAAGGCCATAATTCACACGAATAAGAACACATCGCCAAAGATTATTTTAGATGCATACGACAAATGAATGTGTCATCGTGATTAGCTGATTGGCATATTGCACTACTAACACAGAATGCAAAACTGTACAAACGTGCATGATGTAAACACGAAGTAAGCTTAAAAAAACACCTCTGACCACTGACAGTTGCTTATTGAGAGAACAATAGCAGTGCAGTACACATGACCACGTGACGTCATCAAACATACTGACACCATTGGCTGCTGAACTGAACAAAGCTAATGCCAAGGAGCTGGCTCGATAAGTGAGACAAATCGCTTGCTTAACAAAAACATTTCTGTAGCCGTCACTTTTATTTACAAACCAACCCACTATCTGGAATTTTATTGTTGGTCTTGATCCCCACGATAAAGTCCATTCATTGAAAAGGGGTCAGTTTTACTAACTTAAACACACGTAAATGATTCGTGTATTACAGAAACGGTTCCATTTAGGGATGACAATGGAACGAATATACGCATGAAACTACATTTTCTCAGGACGGATACTTTATTTGAGACTAGCCAAGTGGTCGAATGTTAACATCAGCTAAATTGTATGACTCACTTACAGTCCGTATGTGAGGTTATGAATTTACATGACACTTTGCAATGGCGAATCATATGGTCGTAGTGTCACGGTTTAATAAAAACAAACTTGATGCTTGCGATACTCGAGGCCTCTTTGTCCTCGCTAGCGCGGACTGAGGCAGGCATGCTAACATGCTAACACCGAGCGAGCGAGTCTCGGAGGCAGTCGAGGTGAAGCTAACGTTAGCAAATGGATGCTACCTAAATCTGGTCCGTGTTGCTGGCGATCGACCGTCTAATCAGCTCATTTAAGTGTCGTCCGTGTCTTCAGAAAACGTCATTTTTACAAACGCCAATCACGCAAGCATCCCAAATAAGACCACGAGCAAAAAGGCAAAAAGTATCTCGAATGAGAGGAAGAAGGCCTTTGAGCGGAACACAATCCCATCACGACATTGCTCGCTGGGAAACCAAGACAACAGAAAAATTGCGAAAGACACCGCTCTCCGCCCTGACTAAGGAAGGAAAATCGCCAAGACAGGCGACCGAGTTCGTACGCCGAGTAAACTCGAGAACAAAATCAACTGAACGCGTTGAGAATTGGTTGGCGAATAAGCGAAAACATGATAAAATCGTGTTATTACCTGCTAACACGCTTCACTCAGCCAGCAGCAGACAAGGTGGTCACGTGATTAAGGCGACCGCGGTGGATGCTCGTCCGACGTCCTCTGGACACAACTTGTTTTGTTTATGCTCGTGTCACACGGATCACGATTTGGTGGTTATAGTGGAGTCGTACATAATTGTCATGCTCGGAAAAATGACAACAAGCGCTCCAATATACATTTTGTATTTATTTACTTGTTTTATTATTCAAGAACTTGTTTTCCTGGGGTTTTTTTTTTGCTTAGATTCTCACGTTGCGCTGAGTAAAAACATTCATGAGTTGTATATAAAAAAAAAACAAGCAATCGCTTAGTAGACATCAATCCACACACTTCCTCAGAAATATACATAAAAATGCATACAAGTGTCCCTATGTATTTCACACATACATATACATTTATATAAAATTTACATTGAGTGTGGGGTTATTTTGTTCAAATTGTGGGTGTAATCGGGCGTTCTCTTTTCAATCAGTCCTCATGAAGTCTTCCATGTTCAAAAGAAAAAAAAGAAAGAAAACAAATCGCCTATGGCAGTCTTTCACAGAAAGACCTGACTCAGCAAAGCAAACAATTAACTCGGGCCTACCCTGCCTCTACCAAACGAGGACATGAAGATCACTTCTTGATATAAAAATGAAATTTTACAACTGTGACACGTGCATGTGGTACCGAGCAATGCACGTTATTAACGCTTCTTGTTGGATCAAAGTTTTTTAGAGCTACCAGTTCTTCTTCCCTATTCTCTGAGAGGTCTCAGCGTCAAAGGCAAGTTAACCAAATCAATAAAAAGCCCTCTATTCGACAAGAAACTATACATACGAAACAAAAAAAAGTGTAAATAATCTAGTCACACCAGACTTGAAATATGTAAGTATACAAATACAAAAAGTGTGCAAAACTGCAGAAAGCGTTCTAGTCCAATCGGACAGCAACACAAGCCAAGAAAGGGTTATGGGAACAGACAATACACCTTCAAAAAGTAGATATCACCCCAAGCCATTCAAACGTGGGTGATATAAGGTGGAAATAAATACATATAAAACAAATGATATCAGCAGGTGTTTGCCACTCAAATCAAAGTCACAAAAAAGGGGCTATATCACAACAGAACATTGTATTTAGCAATCATAACATTTCTCCTATATGATTGCAGCCACACATATTTCCAGAAAATGACTTATTTTGATTGGGATAAGCCATCTTCATTTTGCCACACTGAAGGAAAAGCTTTTGGTTATTATTTTGAGACCGAACTGAATCTGTTCCAGCCAACAAAAGTCAAAACTGCACGTGTTAGGTCCTTCGAAATTCTTCTGCAGTCCTGTTTCCTCTCCCCTTTTTGTTATATTGCCATTCATTTCATTTTCACAAAAACATTGTAATATCTTACACAGGAAGAGACAGAAACAATAACCTTCCATACTACAGACCCAACCAATAAGAGCCCAATTGCAAAACGTATTCATTGTCACAGGTGGCTCTGGGTTTTCAAAACCTCCTCGAGGTTCCTCATTGGCAGCTACTGCGTTATTTTAAAAAAAAAAAACAAACAACAACAACAGATTGCCTTTGGTGGAACGACGAAATGGAACACAGGCGACAGGATGTTAAAATATGGTCACAAAGATGTCCGACAATAATCATAGCTGTGATATGGTGGGGACAAGGTCACATGCTCCTGAGTCCAACAGAGACAATGATGTTGCAGAAGGGGAGGGATGGAGGTACTGTTTGGATAAAAATGTGGATGAGGACATCATCATGTAAGGATGCAGAGGATGACGAGGCTAGCTAGCTCCACAATCCTGCGTAGTTGCCATGGAGGCCAGAGCAAAGCGGTCCGCCAGCTACAAACAGCTTGGTGCCGGAGTGGTCGTAGCAGTGCGTGTACACGGCGTTTGGAAACGAATGAAGGTCTGAGAAATAACTCCTCCACGTCTCATCATGATTCTACCAAAAAGAGGGTAAAAAAAATTGCATTAATCACGCGAACTCAAGTTTTTTACAAATCACTCGCCATAACAAATGGTCCAAAGATTATATACCAGCCAGCCTTTTCCTGTTGTGAGCTTGAGAATGCCATCTCCCGAGCACTTCCGGTACCCTCCGGCTGTAATCAAAGGGTTCTCCAGAAACCCATGGGCGCGGATGTCGTAGAAGAGAAGCGAACCCTGGCCAGTGCCGACTGTCACGATGTGCTCATAAAAACTCACCGACCGGATCCCTGCGCAGACAGTTCATTTTCTATGCAGGAGACTGACTCATTGAGAAAGGAGTGACCCACTCACCACTTCCCCGCTCTCTGGAATTGACAGATTTTATGCTTTGCGTCGGCTGACGAGGATCCAAAAAAGACACGTGGGCCTGAGATCCGGCAGCGTATACTGACCAGTCCTGCCCATATGACAGACACACATTCTCTTTGCAGTGTGGCAGTTTGGTAGACAAAAGCTGCAGGGAAACAATGCAGGACAAACAAATGAAGACCCGAGCAACAACATTGACATCCAAACAGACACAGAACTACTTTACTTTTTGAAAAGATTTCAAATGATGTCATTAGTTGTTATGTTATCCATTTTGCTCATTGAGAAAGCTTCTACATTGTTTGATCTGTTAGAATCTAGTGAAGTTATTTGTATTTAGTCTCGTAGCATGATGCATGTTTTATTTCGGATTTTGCTGCATTTACTTTTGAGCTGTTTGCAAATACCCACTGGCTATAGATGGAACTTTTCATCAGACAGTGAATATGATTACCGGTAAATGATATCGCTCAGAAGTAGTGCTATGTTTTTCTTTGTCTTGAATCCTATTTCGGCTGTCATAAGAAATTGTACAGCATATAACAAGGTTAATGCCCAATATATCAGCCGATACACCGGCTTTTTTTTTCTTCTCATTTTTGCCGCCAATATCAGTATCAGCCACAGCCCCAAATATACCATATCGGACGGGCTCTGCTATAAATAATCCACACGTTTTTCTGTTTTCTAAAATGTAAAACAAAACAAAACCAAACAAAAAGAACTGCTCTTGCCTTGCACAAGCTGTGCTCAGCTTTCCATAGGTGGAAGTAGCCATCCAAAGATACAGCACCCAACTCCTGAAAGAAAATCATCCACACCAGGAAACGTGTGAATTTGGATCGAAACTCAATGAAGATTCTTAGTGGCTGTTCGAAGGCAATGCTCACTTTGTGATTGTTGTTGAAGGCCAAAGCGCGGACTTTACAGATGTATTGGTGGGTGGACTCCTTTGGGATGTCTTTGAGGGCTCGGTGGGAGATGTGGGCATAGGAGGGCATGGCCGTTTCGCTCTGACTGTGCTGTATCTGGCTCATGACTTCCTCTGTGACTTCCCACAGACCCATGGAGCCATCCCGCGAACCTAGAAATCGGAATAGCAACAAAACACGGATGGCATGTGTCAAGTACATCAGTAAAGTCATAAACTACCTGCCTACCACACCTAAATGTGGTGCTCATCAGCGATTATTTCAGGAAAGGCGAGATAATCACGAGGCACATTGTTTACACAATTGTTGGGACCGCTTGCCACATCTCACTTGCAAAAACATGGAGGATATTTCCTACCTTTGACAATGGCAAATAGGATGTTCACCCGACCATCTTTGACATGACAACAAAATTTCTCTCTCTTTTTACAAAACAACCTCAATTTCATACTCGGGCAGTAGCCCATCTGTCACGACTTGGGCTTTGGAATCTGAGGGTGACGATTGGAGTCGTCCTGCAGACAAAAACTCAAACTGCAATTGCAGTAGTTCTTGGGGAGATGATGGTCTGCCACCTGACACAAATGTGAGGTGCTTTTGACCAAGGTAACGATTGGAATTTAAAAATTAGTAATTCATTTTGGGGGAGGGGGCTTTTTTCCACATGCCCTTGAAGCAGAAACGGAACGGACATTGTGGTGCCGCTTGTGCAAAACCCCTAACACCGGGCATTCATACAGAGAACTCACCAGACACTGCCATCCTGTCACTGATCCATGCTATTGAGAAGATCCAGTCATTGTGGCCATCCTAACAAACAAAAGAAAGACCACCAGGAAAAAAAATGTGTAGAAATTAGGTTGAAGTGATGCCAACCACAAGGAAAAGTATCCCCAATTGGAGAGTTTTACGTGTTGAGAAAGACCGGACAACTCACATCACCAACACAAACTGGGTCCAGTGTGGGCAGCTTGTAGATGGCGAGACTGTTGGGGTTGTCACCCCCAGTAGCTAGGAGGGTCCTTGAGGGGTTGATCTCAATAGCGTGGATCCCACAGCCCTGCTGGTCGAGCCGGGAATGAGAGCTTGCTGTGGTGTGGTAATTCTGCACCACCCCGACCACAGAACCTCCGCCGTGACATTCCCTGTCCTTCAGCATGGGAATCCGAGTGATCTGCCCCGTCATGACATTGGTTACAAAAAGCTACAAAGAAGAAGGAAAAAAAAAGAAAACATTTGATCAGCTCAGAAAAATGGCTTGTCAAAACCGTGCACATTGGGAGTGTTCAGCTTGGTATATGATCAATGAAGGGCACCCTGCATCGTAAAGAGTGGACTAATATGGAGATGACATAATCAGGTGAGTGATTCTAGGGTCAGACTTCTAAAATGGACAAAAGGAGGGTGAGTATGACAGCATCCTTTAACACAATTATATTATTATTATTACAATTCCAAATAATAATTTGGGGCTTAGAACTATCAAAATAATAGGTCACATTTAAGAAAGATAAAACATCTCACCGTGTTGCATTTGGTCCCGCATACAACCTGCTGTTGGTTGAGCCACTGTGAGGCAAATACTTTGTTAAGACGCCCAAGAGAGAACTCCCTCTCCTTCAGGATGCCAGGCAGCCTGCCGGCCGCAAACCCGCGCAGGCTCCGCTGGAGCTGCAACTCATGCTGCTGCTGAGGTCTGAACTCTCGGCCCCGGAGGGCGCAGACGACCGAGTGGGAACTGTGCCACCACTGCACATGACGTGAAGAACAAGAGACACGGCTCCGCTTGTATGGCACCTGACACCAGCCCAGCTAAAAGAAGAAAATTCAAACATTAAAAACATTATTTCTAACTATCCATCCATTGTTGACACTGCCTGTCCTCATTAGGTTTGTGGGTGAACTGGAACAAATCCTTGGCCATCATCGAGTGCCTGGAAATGTGCTATACATAAATGTAACCTATTATCATTATTATTCAAGCTAATTTTAGGGTGAGAGGTGGGGCACACACTGGACTGATGACAATTCACACTCACATTCACACCCATACATAATTTCGAGTCTTCAATTAAGATAACATGCGCACAAATGGACAACTCTCATTTGCAGTGAATAGCCCACAGTGGGAATACAAGGCGAGCCAGGAAGGTTTTAGAACTGGTGTCACAAAAGATAGATCTCCTCTTGTAATCCACCTGGAGTCCAGGGCACATTCACCACCCTTCTTGTCATGCGGTCCTGGAAGGATTCTTCTGGGATCCTCCGGAGCTCCATCGTCACAGCCCATCTTGATATCATCCATGTCTCAAAACAGGTGCCCTTGGTGACGCCCTTGAGTTTGAGGAAAATGGCAAAATGCGATGTTGTTCTCGGAGAGGAACTGACAGATGTTCAGGGCGTTGTGGGCGGGCACGCTCTCATGGGGAAGCAGCCACAAGTTGTCCTGTCACAACTCTTCTTCTTGCGCACTGAACGAAGCAAACACCGCATGATCTCTGTAGACATGCAGGTTGATCTGTCCCACATTTAGGGGAAATTTTTGTTTGGTTTGAAAAGAAATGTTTTTTGACACCAGTCCTGGGATTTTTCTGACACATCTTGTATTTTGCAGTACAGCAATACGTATATATAGTATACTTTGATTCTGGAAAAAAAACGAAACAAAGGTTTTATGTCTAATCTGTTTGGATGTTCTAATTTATGTTGGCCGCTGTAATTAACTGGTCAAGTTGGATTTTTCTATACAGTACTCCAGTTTGGGAGACATATTCACTAAGCGGAAGCTTTCCAGACGTGAACACGGTCTAATGTACACTTTGAGGTAACATTACCATTCGCTAGCTGGCGACAGTCTAAAACCCTAATGAGACCGTCATATCCGATCAGGCTGCAACATATTCGGCTACCTTTACCAGTCGTCGTGATCTGGCTAACGTTTGCCAACATGAACGGATGCACATGCACACGTTATAAACATCTCCTAATGCATTTGCCGTTGGTTCTCGTGTGGATTGGCGACACCGATCGCCCCAGTGTCAGAAACGTGTTGCACCCTGGCACAGATTATAATTACGCGAACATATTTAGCACGAAGCTAGTTAGCATGCTACCATCAATTTTGATAGCTTAGCCAATGAGATCCACCGGTTTCCGCCTACCTGTTGTTGGTCCTTGGGCTCCCCTGCCTTTCTTTTCCTGCTAACTGTTTTTCTCGCCATAGTCTGACACACACAATTCCCTCACCCACATGGAGGGTAAACCCGACTCTGGGCGTTGGATCATATAATGTCGATAAACGATTTTGTTCGTTGGCCTTTGCTGGCGCCGTCCGGTGACAAGCAAGGGCGATTACATACGGGATACGTTGCCTCTTCGCTTGTCTAGGGTTGTTGGAGAATTAATCGCGTTAACTTGCTCTGTATTTGCAAGTCGCCACAAAAGTCGCTCGCTTCAGTGAGTTCTTTCTCCCTTGGCGAATCGCGTCAGCAACGACGAGTTCATTGCCCAAGCGCGCAGCCGCACTCATTAAACGTCACCAAAAACAAGGTCACACGTGAACGCGCCTGTGGTACGGGCTCGTTCACGACGACTGCGCGCGGCCATTCATGATTTCCTTCGGTTAGGAGTCTTCGGTTGCTTGCTATTAAACCTTTTTAAATAACGAGAATATCATTCTCGCAGGGCATAAAACGTTTTTTGAGTCGGTTATTTCAAATTGAATTATAACCTTTCAGACACACCTTAGAACAGGCATTTTAGCATAAAAATATTCTATATACACTATAGTTAATGATCTTTCAGGGGAAGCGTGATGACATGCAAAACACATCTGTAAAATTCTGTACACATTAGAAGTCTACATTATCTCTGTGGAATATGATTCTTTTTTTGTGATAAGTACTGATTGTGAACTGTTCCAGTGTGGCACAGTTGCACATGAGTTATTGTGTTGTATTGATGGTTTGATTGGTTCCTATAATTGTGATATATGTGTGCAGGTATTAAGAGGTGGCTCACTCAAGGCCAAGTTATTAAATGCGCTGTCTCGGTATACAATTGAAAGCCTTGTAGTTAATGTATTTTATTTCACTTTCAAATCAGCAATAAAACAGTACATCAGTATAAAACTGGTTTGATGTTAGAGTCTGAAAGAAAAAAAATTATTTGAATAAATATCATATTGCAGCTATTTTAAAATACCTATAATGGAGGTATACATAAACATGCCTTCAAAGTGCATTTGGATTCTAAGCCCTTTCCGCTTCCTGTTGTGCCAGAAAAGACACATCTGCTTTCTCCAGTCCTATCTACTTACTTGACTTTAAAGTACTTTTATATTTCCTGTGGACAAACAAGACACATAAAATGTAAGCATTTAGCAAGAAATACCAATGACAGTTGAGACTATTGAAAAGATTTGCGTATTTATTCAATGGGACCTTCCAAGTTACAGCAGAGGAAATTGAACATTTCTAACCCACAATTCAGGAGGTCATTCACCTTAAAATGTCCGATTATGTTGTCACCAAATACATTAGAACCAACACAATATGTTGTATGATAAATTAGGAGTATTTGACAACCCTTAAAAGTTGAACCTGACACGGGATGAGACATTGATGGATAAGGCCCCAAAACCAACAGTACATCCCAACGACTCTCAATTTAGTGGCATAGCATTGTCCGCTTGCATTTTGTTGTAGTAAGCAAACTAGAGGCAAGACAGATTTTTGTCATGTCAAATTTTACAAAGAAAAAATATGAAGCCAAGTGTTTAAACCAACAGAAAATACAGAACTGAATTCAGCAATTTAAGATTGCTCGCAGTTGAAAAGTGACAACAAATTTAATGCTTGACAAATGGGGTAAAAAAAATGCCTAAAGTTCTGAAGATTAAAAATTGATCCTATCTGCAAATTGACAATTTACCATAGGTTCTTCAGTCATTTAGGCTCAAGTAACTAAAAATAGACTATGCTTAAGGAACATGAATGGAATATTGTGGCTGGTGTTCTGGAAGGTAGGTGTACTGATTTGACCCCCGCTTAGGAATGGACATCATTCAAATTGTCTTTTTTTTTCTTTGAGACTGACTTTTTTTTTTTTTTTTTTGGGAGTGGGGTGGGGTAGTCTGCTCATATTGCTACCTCACATTACCCTCCCTTCTTCAATTGTGCATTATCACAAAGATTAACATGCCCCCCCACTTTTTTTTTTTTACATCTGTGACAAAGTTTTGGCAACAAATCTGAGTCAGATTAATGGAAACATCTGAACAAGTCAACCAATGCAAGTCATGTTTGATTAGATGGATGAAATGATAAAATGAGGAAAAAAAATCACTCGTCAAAACTTGCCTAGTTCCATCCAAATTTCAAGCAAGACTTGAAAACCAGTCAACAGTTCCATGTCTCTATTGCACTGTGATGTGGCTGCAAAACAAAATTCTCCACACACATCGCCCAACCTCCATCCACGCCTTTCCAGTATGCAAACAAAGGTAAGTTAAAAGTGTCATTTGTGTTACCATACCTTACATCCTATCAAACTCTGTATGTTCAAATTAAAGTTGCAGTGTACTATTTTAAAGAACTTGATAATTACTAGAATGTGTGTGTGTGTGTGTGTGTGTGTGTGTGTGTGTGTGTGTGTGTGGGAGATTTTCTATGTACTGTTTCATCAAGAGGAGAGAGCCTCCCTCTCTTGCCGCTTCGTGCAACAGGTTGTTCCAATGCAGGTAAAAGAGCACACCGGACTCGTAGTACCCACTTATTTTCTGGGTTGCAATGATGAACGTTCAATGATGTGAATGCAAAATCAAATGACGTGAAACACTGAAAATGAACAGAGAGAAACAAATGAGAGGAGAAGGTACAGTGAAGCGGAACGGGCACTTCTTGAGTCACTTCTTTCTCTGTCTGGTGTGACGTTCATCCTTTGCCTTTGGACGTCTGTTTCAATTTCAAGAAACGCCCATTATTCCTTCCCACCACACTTACGATATCTGCAGAGCAGTGGAAGATGGCAGCTTGGCTGTGAAGCGGTTTTCAAGGGTTTTCTACCTCCTCCTGATTCTGACCTGCAGTCAGATCAACACTTCCAAGTGGAAGCAAATATAAATGGCGTCAAAGCCAAAAGCCCAATTCTCCTCGGTCCTCATCTCCAGTCTTCAATACCGTCGCAGTAGCAGTTCCTGGAACCTAACCTCAGCGTTGATTAGAAAGAAACACCGCTGTGAAGTATTGATACTCTTGGCACCCAGTCTTAAAGTGCTTGAGAGACAATACGGTGGAGCACAGAGAGAAACAAGTACTCTCCCAGTTCTCTCATCCACAGCCAAGGCAAGCACATGTTGCAGGACATGGTGTGATTTTTAGAGGGGCAGAAAAAAAGGGGCTGTGTGAGGTGGTTAACAGGTAGCAGGCCATGCGGCGGTTGCTTCATTGGCTCGGCTCAGCTCGCAGTAGCCCGAGCCATCAAGTCCTCGAGCGCCTTGTCTTGATCATTGTTGTGGACCAACAGCACCTCTTTGATGGCCTCCCGTTCGAATCCCATCTCACCAAATCTTGACATCAGCTCAAGGAACTGCAGCGCCTGAGGAGAAGGGAGAAGAAAAACGACTTAAAAGCTGTGATTGACAGCAACGGAATGGTATCGGTCAACATTCACAAAGACAAATCATCTTGAAATAGTTCGGCCACCCGCTGTCCACAAAGGACCAACCTTTTCTTCTGAGCACTGGTACAGCTCTAAGCATTCCTCCACCGCTCCTGCATCAAAGCCCCGCTCACACAGACGTCCATGGACGAAGAGATAATCCAGCACCTTGGACAATGAGGACATGGTCATTATAAGAGACGTGCCATCTGACAGCCGATTAACATGTGCGAGCTCCGTTTTATCGGCTACGTTTCACTGCAGACAATATCAACTTGTATTTTGAGCAGATTCATGTAACGGCGTGAGTGATGATTGGGCTGTTGGGTCACACCTGCTCCACATTCTGCCCTTGTCGCTGCATGGCCCGAAGAACGCCCTCATAGGAATAACCCATGCCCACAAGGGTTTCCACACACTGGCGCTCACCAGGGGTCATGCTTAGCAAGGCTCCTCCGCATGGCAAGACAGCGGAACCTGACCCCGAGTTTACCTAGGAATCAAGATGAGAAGAATAGCAATGAGGTCGAGGATGGAACTCTTCATCCTTAAGCAATTTATGTGAGCTCACCTGTTTTGGTCCACCACCCTTAGAAACGCTGAGGTGCTCTGGAGCGACGATAACTTGGGACTTGGGTTTGATCGGGGGGCTGCCGTTGGGTAGGTTCCGTCGGGGAGAAGGCGTGGGTGCGTTGCGTGCGCTGTACCGAACCGGCTCGGGATCCCCGGAATCCGACAGCTTGGGAAAGCTCAGAGAGCGGATGTTGCAAGGTCGATCCTCCGCTTCGAAACCCGATTTCCCATGTTGCCCAACTCCGTCCATATCCATCAAGGCAACCAAGCCATTTGGTTTATGGGCAAAGCCCGGTTTTGCGGGAAGGCTGGTGTTGGTGGGAGGCGATGGGGTGTTTCGACGCGAAGCTGGCCCTTGCTGGGACCCAACCGGAGGGGATACAGACGAAGCGGGTTGAGGCTGGCTCTGGAGAATGTTCCGAAGCTCCTCTTTATCATCCAATGTTTTAAGCTCCAGCTTGTCAAAGGGGTCCTCTTCCCGCTCAAAGTCAGCAAGGTTGAGGCCGTGTGACTGAGGAGTGCTGGGCTGGATTTTCCTCGGACCAAGACTTGGAGCAGGCAGAGGAGTGAGTATGGCGTCATGGCTCAATCCTGCCAGAATAGGGTTCATTGCTGGTGGCGGAGGGTCGTGGTCTTCAACGGCAGATGGGGCTTTCTTCCCTCCAGCGCCATTCACGTCCTCAGATTGAGACACGCTTTCGCGATTTTCCGCTTCCTGTTTCGCCGCGGCCTCTTTTGCTCGCGCCTCTGCTGCTCGTGCCTCGGCCAGCTCCGCGCCCCAGCGGACGCTTAATTTCTCCAGAGAAAAGTCGTACTGTTGTGATCATAGAAAGAGGATATTGATGAGGGGAATAATGAGAGTAAAAAGGAACACCATGATGTTCACTTTCTATATTTATTAATATAAACAAATACAAAATAAAGCACAGCCATTTTTTGTAGAAATCAGTGCAAAATGTTTTGTAATGACGGGGCACAAATTGATTTACGTGGGCAGTTGGGCCACAAGATCAGTGTCACTCCACAGTAAAGACCATTACACCCTGGCCATCTTTTCCCTCTTTCTTACCCACTCGCTGTCTTGTATGCAAAGCACTAATGCAGGATGGGTGTGTGTTTTTTCATTTTTATGTTTGCCGGCTCCTGAGGTCATATCACTGGGAGTATGCCACCATTATGTACGGAGGGTGAAATGTAATACCCAAGACAAGCTTCCCATGTCCCTTTTGTGTTGACATAAATTGTCACATAAATTAATCACCTTAACGCCGGAAGCCGCAAAAGCTGTGTGAAACAACATATCAGCATGTTTTGCTTGAAAGGGACAGGCAAATAAACGCTGGCTCTGTAGTCACACCAATTTACCGGGGAATCAGTTTGAAAGTGGCTTGAACGACAAAATACCTGTGAGTCCACCAACAGAGAGGTGCAGTCCGGCAGACAAAAGCCAACAGGTAGCCCCACCTTGGCAGGACAGCGAAACCTTTCATTAACCTTGAAGGGAACATCATCAAGGTAGCTGATGGGTCCTATGTGAAAAGACAAAATGTGCATAAGATCACGGACAAAGAAAGTTGGCTTCAAATGTGAAGAGTGAAACAAATCCTTACCATTGTTTTGTGCATCCGATAAAGACCTCCTTGTAGCCATTTAGATACTCTGGGTGGGAGGGGTGGGGGGCACACATGTCGAAAGGATTAGTTCCATGAAAAAGATGTGGAATAATTTCAGCATTTTGAACTGAAGGAGAGGGATTTAAACTGTAAAAATACTTACTTCGTGTGCCATTCAAGGGACACTGATGCAAAATAATATATTTAAAAAGTATGATATGACATTTCAACTGTCAAGTTTCAAACACCACTGAACAATCAATGCTTTCATTATAGAACAAAAACATCACTGTAGAGAATATTACTCATACACTTGACTCAACATCCAACTCAGACTGTAATGTCTCTGTTAGCGAGGCAAGGCAACTATATTTATATAACACGTTTCGTACACAAGGGAACTCAGTGTGTTTTAACACAACTAAAAGCATTTACATCTAAAAGACATTTGCAGAGCAAAAAGAACAAAAGTAGCTTATTCAAATTATTAAAAAGAACATACACTGACATAATTGAAACACATTTGCAACCAATGGGTTTGAAGAAATTTAAAAGCAATGGAAGCAAATAAAAATTAGCTTTCTGAAATGACAAAAAGAACGTAAAGTAGAATTGATTTTAAAAATGCTTAAATTTGGTTGCTTAAGTCAGAATTGTGCCGAAATATAGTTTCCTCAACTTTAAGTTTTCTAGTAAAATTAAATGAAATTCCTGGTTTGTGCTCTTGAACTCCCATCAATTCCCAATGAACGTTTCCAGCTTCAAATTGACAGAATTTTCCAACCCCATGTGCCACAGCAAAAGATCTGCTCAACTCCCCCTCTCAAACGGCTTTACACATTTTCCGCTGCTTTGAATATAAGCGCACATAATCCATTATTTGGTCAAGCAACAATGCCTGACTGAATTAACAAAGAAGCTACTGTTTACCCAAGTCCACACACAGAAATACTATATGAAGACTTTAAGGAGAATACTATAAATATACAGAAGTATTATTCATAGAACTTCAAGGAGAACACAGACCCACATAATATATCTTCGAAATTCTCTTGCGTAACATCGAGCGAAAAGATTACTGATTCCAACTGATTGTAGCAGCCGTAGAAGATCCTACCATGTGAGTGAATAGTTCTTCGGAATGTCTTTATGTAACCACTGTAGTATCACAATCAGGTTCTCTTTTGAAACAATCACAACATTCATGTTAAGTTACACATGGGAGGTGTCAAAAGCGCTTTTGACAATATATCTACGACCACAGAAGCGCAGGAGTGTTACTTTTAATTCAGTATTATGAAACAGAGAACAGTTTCGGCAATTCGTCAATTAGTGAAACTGTTCTCGAGCCTTAAATCATTAAGTGTGACTCACAGTAATCAACAAAAACATTGGCGGAAACGCTCAAGTTATTGATTAGCAACCGGCTAAGCTATCATACGTTTTGCCACTCCAGTCTGAGATCGCTAACACCAGCAGTCAATACACAGTCGCAACTGCTGAATCCTGGTGGACAGGAGGATATCACATAATTTTGGAAGAATTAAACGCCTGACAGCTTTTCGATTTGGGGACAAGTCTCCAAAGCCATTGCTTTCGCAAGTGGCCCGACTTACACTGTTGCCCCCGCCCCGCAACGAAACCGATCAAACAAAGATTGCTCTCACCTGTATCTGGCCTGTCTCGCTCTTACAAATATGACTTTATTCTTATAAGTGTACAGTCTAAATTAGAATTATAATCGAAATGTTTTATTTATTGTGAAATATCTTTCCTCTTCTGCCTAGGGACGCCATCTTGATTTGTCCGGCTCCCTTCCCTTCCACTGGTTCCTGTCTGACGTCACTCACTCGCCTGACGTCAGGTATTTCTTCTTCGCCAAGACTTTTTTTTTCTTCTTCTTCGTTGTCTTCTTCTGCTCCTTCTTGAGCTCTTCGATTTTTTTTCTCGTAGTTCTGCCTTCACCTGGTCAGTGGTATTAATAGGGATTTTAACCAAGTCAAATACAAAAGGAACTGATTCATCTTTGTGTCAAACGCAAGGCCTAGGGTAAGATAAGATAAGATAAAATATCTTTTATGGTTTATTATATGGCCCATTATAGCACATAGTGTGTCCACCTCATGTATTGCATTGTATTGTATTTTGGCGGACAATATGTATTGCAATTGCAATCTTTCTTCACGTTTAGCTGCTTTTAAAACAATTTCTTTGCAACAAATATATTTTGAATTATTTCATAGTTGTGCAAATAGTTGCATACAACCATTTTCATTGACTTTTGATTTCAAAATTACATTTATTGTTAAAATGTGCAACCATCCATTTTGTTTCCTCATTTAGGTTGTGGGTGTGCTGCCTATCCCGCCTGATTTTGGGTGAGATTGGGAAATACCCACGATAGTTAGTACACTAATAAGCATTCACACTCCGACATACAATTGAGAACACGGGTGTCAAACTATTTTTTCTCACGGGCCACATATTGATAGCTTGTTTTGAAATCAGAAGTCAACTAAGGAAGATAAGATAACTTTTATTTGTCTCACAATGGAGAAATTCGCAGTACAGTATTGTAGTATATACAATTGTAGTATTGTTAATTGTTCAAATCATTTTAAATATTGTTTTGGTGCAAATAAAAATGCTAGCAATATCTCAAACGTATCAAAAGTGAAGACAATTAGCAATTTTAGTAAAGATTTCGCGGATGGCAGTTGATGAACGTGGTTCTCTTTATCAGGCCAAATATAAACGTGCTCAACTCTTGGGCACTTAACATGTGAAATTAAAACTATTCAAACAAAAATGAATGGAAGGATTATTTTTTTTAAAAATCACTACATCTTTATTTCACGAAATGGCAAAGGTAAGCAAACAAGTTAATTATAAAATTAATTGAATTACTGTACTGTTTTATTGGCGTAAAATGTGAAGCAACCAGATCAAGAAAAAAATGAAAATATAATAAAAAACATACTCTATACACACTGAAGAATTACTTAAATTATATCGTCACAGCGAGTTCAGAATACCGTACCGTACGCAACCAGCAAAACGATCCATGTTCTGCTTCGAGTGCGCGCACGCAAGTCACGTTACGGACGTCGATGACGCACCGCAGACACGCGCAATGGTAACCGGAAGCATCGTTGAGAGGAAAATAAAAATCGATCAAAACCCCAGTTGGTCTTGAGGGTAATTTTCACCAGATGTCAATTCTCCGCCGTAGATTCGCATTCGATTGCCCTTAACACTACTGTCGTCGGAAGAAACGGTAGCGTGCAGGAAAAAAACTGCCCCGTTTGACCGAAGTTGCTCGCTAACTGGTTTAGCTGACGTGGGGAGAAGTTGAGACTGCCAGAGAGCAGAGGGACAAACACAAACAAGCTGGGATCAGCTGAGCGCCTGTCCGAACCGAACCAGCGGCACGGGGACATGTCACGGAGTGCGACTTTGCTCTTCCGAGCCCAAGAATGATCCACGGGACACGGTGACTTCCACTGAAACTAGCTCCATGTAGACTATCAACAGTGGCAACACAAAGAATTTCGGCAGCACCACACGAGGATCAGCCATAAGCAGGAGAAGAACATCCACGGCTCATGTCACCACTGTGTGTCACTTTAGCCAAGCACTACCAATGACTTTGTTGTCCAGTTCTCTGCTGTAACCTCACGAATACATATTACGTTGCAGGAAGACAGGTAAACGCTCCTTTTCTTTACTTGGCTTTTTGTTTGCACCAGGGAATCGAACCCAAGTCCCTAGATAGCTTTTCACAGTACACGACGTTGTACATTGTGAGAGATTCTTGCACATTTTGCCGTCTTGTATTTCTTCCCAGTCGCGTGCCATAGCCATATATCTTACATGTCGCAGCACACCCCCCCAAAAATAATCTCACAAAAAGTATTCTTTATATATAATAAATAATGATGTGGTGTGGTGGTCGTTGAAAGATATTTTAAATTGTGGGTGGCGAAGGGGGGAAACAAAACATAAAATAGCCTTAACGTTTTGGTCTTCTCCGGACTTTTCTCTATTCCCACTGGTGTCAGAAGTGGGATGAGCATGGCCCACCAAGCAACCCCTAGTTCTCAGAAGGCCCTGATGATGGAGTTGAAGTCGCTGCAGGAGCAGACAGTTTTTTTTGCATATACTGTACTTTGGCTGCCTCACACATTTTTTAAACATGCTTGCAAGGTTAATTGAAAATTCTAAATAGTCCGTAGGTATGAATGTGAGTTTGAATGTTGTTTGTTTATACTGTGCGTGACACGGTCCTGAGTTTTGGGGCTTGATTCTCGGCTCCTCAGTGTGTGGGGTTTGCATATACTGTACTTTGGCTTCCTCACACATTTTGTAAACATGCTTGCAAGGTTAATTGAAAATTCTAAATAGTCCGTAGGTATGTGAGTTTGAATGTTGTTTGTTTATACTGTACGTTCTCTGCGATTTGCTGGTGACCAGTCCAGGGAGTACTGTGCCATTTGGAACAGAACAACCCACCCGGTAAACAGAGCACTCCTAATGTAATGTAGTTGGTGCCAAGAAGAAAAAAAAAAACAGCAAATTGTTATCTTCCGGCCAGGTGTTATGTCCCAGATTATCCATTTCCAATATCCACTTACGGTTGTTGCAATTTAGTTTTAGTGACAACCCACACGTTACAGAACAACCCACCCGGTAAACAGAGCACTCCTAATATAATGTAGTTGGTGCCAAGAAGAAAAAAAAAAAAAAAAAAACGGCAAATTGTTATCTTCCGGCCAGGTGTTATGTTCCATATTATCTATTTCCAATTCCACTTAGGGTTGTTGCAATTTAGTTTTAGTGACAACCCACACGTTAACATTTTACATTTTTGACTCTTTGACTAATAGACAATGAAGGTTCGCTGTTAGCCACTACAAGACTGTCAGGCCACACAAAATTCACTGACGCTAGCACGACCGGACCAGTCCAAAGTTTATGAATAAATGCGATGAAATCGACATGCTTGCTGCTCTGAAGCGACTAAAATGATGGTCCGCCAGCAAATACATTTCTGTGTACATTAACTTAAATGTTATCGTGCTTGCTGAAATTTATCTTCAGCAAAGCCTGAGTGCGGGGTACGATGTGTAGATACATTATAAAAAGCATTTCCAGGCGTTTCATAAAATGCATGTTGACATACTTTTGTCAAAATACCTCATTGAGCAAGAATTCTGTTCCACTTTACACCTTATTTCGTGTCTTGCTGAAATTAGCCCCTTTTTGGAGGGGCTGTCCCATCTCTTTGTAAGCGAGTGACTGTATAACCTGCCTCATACACTCCTGGACCAATGGCCACTCTGGCTTTACAACAAGAGCAACATTTTCCTTGCAGGAGCATAGCCAATTCAAGTTGGGGAAACAAAATAATAGTGCTGTTAGCCCTTGCGGAAAGCTTCAGTCGTACTGAGCGGATGTCATGTACTCTTGTCAGTTTTTTTGTTTGTTTTTTTTTTAAGTGATAATATTAGTATATTTATCAAAGCCTCTTTCAAATGGCTTCAAATTTCTCTGACAGAGCCACAAAGTCCTTGTTAAAATAGGCCAGCAAAAAAACAAACTTCAATCATACTTGGTATAAATCCAGAGTAGCCTGACAGTAACAACATTACGGCTCATCATCTGTACAGAGTCATTAGCGTCTTCTACAGTGGATGAGAAACAAGCCGCGTGGCTCACTCACTCTTGGGCGGGTTTGCCGTTCGTCTGTGCTAACAAACACAAGATTAAACACGGCCTCATGTTCAACTTTCCAGGTAGTGAGTTCTTGTTCTTGTCGCAACAGGTTTGCGCCAGCACTTCAGGAGAATAGTCGGCGTATTTTAGATACTGCAGAGGGTGCCCACTTGTTCTTACATTGATCCGTGCATTCAAATCTCCAGCCTTAATTGTCTCCCAAATGTAAGGCTTTGAAAAACCGCCTTTTTCGACACATGACTGGAAATTCCACAAAGAGAAATTTGGGGCGCCCTAAATAGGTTATTTGTGACATATCGCAGCAGCGCGTACAGTATTAACGATACACATTTTGACGTGAGTCGGATTTAAAACGTGAGTGTATGTTCACTCTTGCAGGCTCACATCAAGTTCCCAGTGGACTACCCGTATTTACCGCCAACCTTTCGTTTCATCACCAAGATGTGGCACCCCAACATCTATGAGGTATTTTTCTTCCATGTGTTCCATCCTTTTTTTAGTAAACGTCTGGCTGTGCACATGTCCACTGTGTCATGAAGCGGGCCCTCTTTTTTTGTGTGACGTTGTGCGATGTGGTGTTTTTTTCTCAGAATGGCGACGTGTGCATCTCCATCCTGCACCCTCCGGTTGATGATCCACAGAGCGGGGAGCTGCCGTCGGAAAGATGGAATCCGACCCAGAATGTCAGGTGCACACAAAAGCCTTTTTGCATTTGTGACTCTGACGCTGTAGAATAATTAATCAACAGCGTAAGGTGAAAGTTGCCCGTTTGTACTCGGGCTGCCACAAGCGACTACTTTGCTGGTCGAGTAGTTACCGATTGGAGTCGTGATTAGTCGACTAATCGGATCGTATGTAAATTGCAGCTCCTAAATAACCAGCGTTATTTTACAGCTTGAATTATTTCAGGTATCTGTGTAAAGACAATTAAGATGATAGTACCGGAGAGAGACCAATCAGACTGCTTTAAGCAAACGTGGAAACTTGAAAAAGCCCTGCTATATTTAAAAAAAAAATTAAATAAATTGAGGCGGGTTAGCCTGATCACCTGCAAATCCTGATCATGGGTCAAAAGAGTTGTTTCTCAACATCTTGTCTCTAACACATGTGAAAGGACTTGCTTCACGAGTGCATTTTTTGAATCAAAGGTTGCATTTTTTGCCAACAACAGTGAAAATGCCAGAATGTGTTCTTCAGCCTGTTTTAGCGAGGACCCATCGGAAGCATTCGTCAGTGCCAAAATCTAATTCTGGATGGTGTGCTTCTGTTTGCATGTTTTGTTTTGTTTTTTTCTTTGACTAGGACCATCCTGCTTAGCGTCATCTCTCTACTCAACGAGCCAAATACCTTTTCCCCTGCCAACGTGGACGCTTCGGTGATGTTTCGCAGATGGAGGGACAGCAAAGGCAAGGACAAAGAGTATGCAGAGATTATCAGGTAACGTTGCATGCGTACCATTCGGCCATGTTTTGACATACACGGAGGATCCACGCTGTAGTGCTGTCGATATACAAATGTGTGGCGTTTGTAATAACGCCTGCTGTGACCAATCGATGCGGCATATCGATAATATTGTAGAATTGAGACTTTGATTTACTTTAGCAAGTCAAGGCACCTTAATTTATTTACCGCAATGTGCTTCACGTCATTAAAAGTACAACATTTAAGAGCATTTGCAAACAAAAAAAAAAGTTTGACTTTCAAAAGCAATGAAACAAAAAGTAACTTACCAAAAGAACGGTACAGTGCAAAGTCAAGATTTTCTGCTCTTAAAATTATTACTCATTATGTAATCACAGATAACCTGATTGTGATTTGCCTGTCATTTAATCACAGAAAACAGGTGATGTCCACAGCGGCGGATGCCGATCGCGACGGCGTCAAGGTGCCAACCACGCTGGCGGAGTACTGTGTCCAGACCAGGGTTCCCTCTCAGGACAGTAGCTCAGACCTTCTCTACGATGACCTTTACGACGACATGGAGGAGGACGAGGAGGACGATGACGAGAGCGAGATGGAGTCGATAGGCGAAGCCGGAGCGGTGGGTTGCGTGGAGGACGGCGAGACGTCCAACAGATGTTACGACAACCAGGATGACTCTGGCAACGAAGAGTCATGATGATCTGGATCGTTACTGCTCCTTGCCAACTCCCTGAATCCTTTGCCTCATTTTGTGTGTGTGTGTGTGTGTGTGTGTGTGTGTGTGTGTGTGTGTGTGTGTGTGTGTGTGTGTGTGTGTGTGT